ATTGTTCGGATGATTGCTGAGGATCTTCAACCTTTGTCAATTGTAGAGAACTCAGGCTTTCGTCGTATGATAAAGCTCTTAGATTCCAGGTGATAATCATAGATTTTACACATTGTAATATCTATTATAATAGTGCATTATTAGCGCTGCATCGAAAATAAAATGACTTCTTATGCTTTAACTGTTGTTTATTATAAAGATTAAAGATATTTAACTAGATGCATATTCTAACTTATTTCAGATATGAAATACCTAGCAGAAGGACTCTCGGTAGGACAATTATACCACAAATAATGGAAAAGGTAAAAGGCGACGTTCAAAGTTTGTTAAATGCAGCAAGTCATGTTGCAATAACTACAGATATTTGGACTTCCATKAATACMGACTCCTTTATGACATTAACCGCTCACTTTGTTGACTCAAATTTRAGAGAGCTAAGAACTGTAGTTCTTTGTACCAAAAAATTGGAGTCTAACCATACAGGTGTTTATCTCTCGCAAATAATGTCAAAAGAACTGAGTGATTGGAATATTTTAAATAAAGTAGTTGCAATTGTAACGGATGGTGGTGCAAATATTAAATTAGCCGTGAGATTAATGGATATTCCACAGATTCCGTGCACAGCTCACAAATTAAATTTAATTGTGCAGCAKTCACTGGAACTCTCAGAGGAAGATGAACACGATACAACTGATACAGGTGGATTAAAAATGATTTTGAAGAAATGTCGTAACATTGTTGCTTTTTTTAAACGTAGTGAAGTTGGTAATAGGATATTGGTAGAAAAACAGAAACAGCTAGGTATCACCCAAATATTAAAAGTGAAGCAAGACGTCCGTACGCGTTGGAACAGTACTTTATTCATGTTGGAGAGACTAGTACAACTAAAAGAACCTCTTACAATTGCGACGATTTCTTTAACAGAAGCTCCAATTTTCCTTAACCATGATGAATGGAATACAATTCAAGACATAATACCTTTATTAAAACCCTTCAATAATTTAACAGTAGAACTTTCCGCAGAACAGTATCCAACCATTTCCAAAGTGATACCATTGATAAGAGGTAATTATTTCAACACAGTGTACTATATATTTTATTACATAATTATTTAACAATCTTTCAATGGACATATAATTTGTTTTTAACAAATAAGAAATATAAAACTACAAACTAATCCCACTAAAAATTATTTGCTAACAAATAAAAATAATTTTATAATTCTAAGACAGACTTGATTATAAATTAAATTAACTATTTTTATAAGTACATAACTTAAGAGTAAATAATTATTTTTAGGTTTACAAGGTTCGTTGGTTACAAAAATGCCAAGAACGCTAATTGGACAAGCTTTAAAAACAAATTTAATTAATAATACAATGAAACGTTTTGATGGGTTTGAAAAACAAACGTTAACACCGAGTTTTTCAAGAGCAACCCTGTTAGACCCCAGGTTCAAAAAAGTTGGATTTGGAGTTGAAGAAAATGCTAATKAGGCTGAAAAGTATATCATTTTAGAAATAGCTGATCTATTAGATACACAAAATGTTGTAAATGGTAAATATACCTAATAAATTCCTTGTGTTGAAAAATTACTATCTAACAAATGTAACAGTAGTGCTGATGCTAAATGTACTAAATTTTTGGGTTTAAGGTGTTTCTATAAAATATTATTTTTTTTCTTTYAGAACAAGCAGTTAATGAAGAAGTSATTAATGAACAAGWGGATAATGTTTGGGAATTCCTACAATCCAAGGTTTCTAGCATACAATCCCAAAGTACAGTAACAAGCAGTGCTAATGCCTTGATGAGACAATACCTAAATATTCCCCATCAAGACTTAAAATGTAATATTTTTACATTCTGGGATCAACACAAGTCTGTGTTATATCCACTTGGAAACATTGCTGAAAAATATGCAATTATTCCAGCAACCTCGGTGCCATCTGAACGGATTTTCTCCAAGGCTGGTCAGATTTTAAGTGYACGACGCAACAGGTTATTACCTGACAATTTGGATACCTTAATATTTTTAAGCAAAAATATGTAAATTAATGTAATSATTTGTTAGCATATCATTACATTTATATCTTTTCAATACCTATGGTTCTCTTATAATTATATATT